CCTCTCGATGCCCGCGATGCCGCAAACGGATTTGAAGGCCCCACCGCTGCCCTCGTGGCCTCCTCGATGCTGTCGTGTCCCCGCTGTTTGAGCCCTTCGATGCCGTTCGTGGCCCCGCGGTCGCTTCTCGGCCCAATCGCTGACCCTCGTGGCCTCGGTAGAGCTATTCGTTGCCCTCTCGCGGCCCCTCCTGGCCCCTTTGCAGCCTTCAGTGGTCCCCTTCCGTTGAAGGCTGCACCAATTGCACGTGGCAGGGAAGAAAGAGACCCCTCCTTTAGAGGAGTCCGATCGAAGATGGAAAGGGCGTGTATCCAGAATTTGAGAAACACATGTTTTAACACGCGCGTGTATACGAGCGAACACTGTTGGAATGACTCAATCTTAACTGCTAAACAGTCTTTATCGCTGGACCCCGTAGAGGCACCCTGGCGCTCTCGCCTCGGCGACAGCTGCATTTCCCGGGGGTGCGCCGGGACCAGCTCCACAACAACAACAACAACAACAACAACAACAACAACAACAACAACAACAACAACAAAACTCCCGCTCGATACTTCCTCCCCTTCTACCCGGGACAGGGGCTCTTGCTCGCCGCCGAAAGCCGGCCTTCCCACAAAATCAGCGCTCCGGGTCGACATTTCTTTGCTTCTGCATGCAGGGCCAGCGTTCCCGCCTTTGCGCATCAAGCGGCCTCACTGCAAACAACGACGTGCCCGTTCGATGCTTCCGCCGCTTTCACTCAAGACTCCGACTCCCACAATCCCTGAAGCTTTCCTGCTCCATGTATAACCTTAACGAATGTAGCGCCAGTATTGTTGGGCACCCTACATCCGCACTGGCGCTGTCACCTTGGCGCCGGCTCACATTCTGGGGTTTCGGGGTTGCGCTGGAAGCGCCCCCCCAAAGAACAACAACAACAACAACAAGAAGAACAATAACAACAACAACAACAACAACAACACCAACAACACCACCAACAACAACAACAACAACAACAACAACAACAACAACAACAACGACAACACCAACAACAACAATCATTCGACCCTCATGCGCAATTTTTCCACACAAAGCATGCGACCATCATGCGGGACTCTTGTGCTATAGCGGGGTCCGTTATTCCCATTCCCCGATATCCCGCCCAATGAGGTCTTGCAAACACCTCCGAGGAGGAATTTCAACATCTCCCGCCTCGAAAACGCATGCCCGAACCTTGCTGCGCCGATGCGAGACCGCCAGTGGAGCCCCAGCCAAGGGTAAAGCTCAAGGAAGTATTGAGCGACAGGTTTGTCTTGGTGGGGATGGGGGCTGTCGGCGGCGAGGCAAGGACCTGGCCCTCAATAGAAAAAGGAGGAAGTCTCGAGCAGGGCCGCTGTTGTTGATTGGGGCGGCGCCAATGCCGAAGAGACTAGGGCGCACTCCACCGTAAAACGAAACGTCCGTCCCTCTTGGGGTCAGGTCGACGGTCCGCGGCCGCCCCGCCGATCAGCGCTGCCGCTGGCCAGGCCGACGGTCCGCGGCCGCTCCGCCGCTTGCCGGGGCCCGGCCTGCAGGGCAGAAAAGTATACCCCCCAAAAGGGGTTCGATCGAAGACAAAGAGGGTGGGCATCGAGGGTTTGGGGAATACGTTATTGGACACTCGAGCATATAAGGGCGTACGGTCGTAAAATGATTGATGTTGCTGTTGTTGAACTCTCAATTATGAAGAATAATTATTGTTGATCCCCCCCCGCCGGTGCACGCTGATTTTTTTCAGTCAAAGTGCGCCCCTCGACGCTCGCACCCTGTTTTTTTGATAAGGAAAATCTTGATCCTCAAACTGCATCGTTACCGCCCTCGGATTACAACAACAACGGCTCCCGCTTGAAACTTCCCAATAATTTACTAATGACCCCCGCCCCCGCCTGAGACTTCCTCACAATTTACTCAGGATCGGCGCTCCCGCCTTCGACTTCCTCGCAATTTACTCAGGACCCCCGCTCCCGCCTGGGATTTCCGCGCGATTTACTCAAGGAGCGGCGCTCCCGCCTGGGACCTCCCGCCGGCGAATTGACATCGCCCCTTCCAAGCGCGCGCCTCAACCCATGGGCGCCAGCGCACACCGCAAGTGCATGCACTAGCGACGCCGCCCAACCCCCACAAGGCGGGAGCGCCTGGCTCCACCATTGTAGCTGCGATAACGTTGGGTTCCGGCCTCGCTGTCCACATCATGCCGACGAACACCAGAACCACCAGCCGCTGCCCGTCTTTTTCACACGCGCCAGCCATCTTTATCACACCATCTCTGTATCTGAGGACTTCCCCACACGTGCTGATCCAGCACCGTGGCTGATGATAGCGGGCTTCGGCCCTGAACATCCCGCTGGGCAGCGCCAGAGCCCAATGGGACAACCGGCCTGCCGCGCACGCGCCGGTACCAGCGCTGCAGCTGGTGACGTTCGGCTTGGGTATCGTCTCCCATGTGCCCCCGAACATTGCCAAAGCTCTCGCCCCAACGTGGCGGCGACGGCGGGCCCCAGTTCACCTCCCACGTCTCCTTGAGCGTTGCCTTCCACATCGCGCTGAGCAACATCGCCAGCGCCTGCTGCTGAGGCTTACCCTTTTCGCACAAGCAGATCCTGGCGCTGTAGTAATGGCGCTTCGTTATTGCATATAGCTGATCGCATTCCCGCACGCGTGAATCCCAGCAGTGTGATTGATGACGTCGGGTTCCGACTTCACTTCCCGCGGGGCCGCTGGGCAACAACACTGTCCACTGCCGTATTTCGCTTTCCTGCACGCAGTGACCCCAGCGTTATGGCTAATGAAATGGGGTCTCAGTGTGGATTGCCGCTGATATCTGCTTGCGACAGGCGAACTGGGGTCTCACCGACAAGTGCCAGAGCTCGCTGCCTCTGGTTGCGGGTTCGCCTCCCGCGCTTCTCCAAGTACACGCGGCCGGGAAGAATTACAACCCCCCAAGAGGGGCACGATCGAAGACGAAGAGGGCGGGTATCCAGGGTTTGGGATATGCATAGTGAATGACACGCGGGCAGATACGAGCGAGCAGTCTTCGAATGATTGTTGTTGTTGTTGTTGTTGTTGTTGTTGTTGTTGTTGTTGTTGTTGTTGTTGTTGTTGTTGTTGAATTCCCACGTCTGAAGAATAATTATGGTTGACCCCCCCTCCACCAGTGCATACTGTTTTGTCTCCATCAAAGTGTGCCCCTCGACGCTCGCACCCTGCTCTTTGGCAAGGAAAGTCTTGATGCTCAAGCTGGGCCCCTGGCCCCCGGTTTACAACGGAGACTTCCTCACAATTTAGCCAGCGCTCTCGCTTGGGACGTCCTTACAATTTATTCAGGAATCGCTTCCACGGCGCTCTGGAGTCGCCTCTCGCTGGAGGCTTGCATGCAACTTACTGAAGAATGGCCTTGCGTTGGATTTTTTTGCAATTTGCCCAAGCGCCGCGCTCCCGACACCCAGGCACCCAGGAGTCGCGCCCGTTGTGGCCCCATGTGCATGCCCTTCGTGGCCCCGCTGTCGCCATGTGTGTTCCCCTCACTGTCCTACGTGGCCCAGTTGCTACCCTCAGTTGCCCCATAGTTGCCTTCTGTGGCCCCGCATTATCTGCACTTCGTGGCCCCCGCTCGTTCGCGCTCTTCGTGGCCCCATACGCATTCCCTTCGTGTCCCCGCTGTCGCCCTTCCTGGCCTACGTCGTGCCCTTCGTGGCCCTGCTGTCGTTCTCTCTCGCTCTCGCTTTCGCTCGTCGTCGTCGTCGCCGTCGTCGTCGTCGTCGTCGTCGTCGTCGTCGTCGTCGTGGTCGGTCCCCTGTCCGTCCCTCTTGGGGTCGGGTCGACGGTCCGCGGCCGCCCCGCCGATCAGCGCTGCCGCTGGCCAGGCCGACGGTCCGCGGCCGCCCCGCCGCTTGCCGGGGCCCGGCCTGCAGGGAAGAAAGGTATACCCCCCAAAAGGGGTTCGATCGAAGACGAAGAGGGCGAGTATCGAGGGTTTGGGAAATACGCGTTATTGGACACTCGAGCATATAAGGGCGAACGGTCTTGAAATGATTGTTGTTGGTGTTGTTGTTGTTGTTGTTGTTATTGTTGTTGTTGTTCAGCTTCCCGCTTCCCGCTCTTGACCCGGCCACAGCAGTCTAGCAAGCTGGCGCGGAGGAGCAGGAGGGGCGAGGGTGATACCGCGGGTTCGTGTCGTGTCGACCCTGGCATTGGTTCTTGGCACCGCGGGGATCATTCAACCTTAACCGATCGGCCCTTTTCGAAACGTCAGGTTGTTCAACATCGACCGGTTCTGGGTCGGTGGGGGCAGTCAACGTTGAACGCTGGCGGCGGGGTCGCCGCCAGCTGTAATGAGGATAGCGGGGGCCGGAGCCAGTGAATCAGGGGCACTCCTCGCTCATCCTCGTCCCCTTCCTCCTCCCTCCGCCTCCCTTCTCCTCAACCTCACTCAATCATCATAGCTCCCGTCCTCTTCCCTTCTCCTGGCATGGCGACGACCGTGGGCCATGGCGGTAAACGCGTCCTCATCATCCGGCGCCCCCTCCTCCCCCTCCTCAGACGAATAAACTGTTGCGCTGCACACGCGAACAGGGCTCCCTGCAACGGATTGATTTGGGTCCTCCTCTTGGGGCCGCGTCACCTATCTCTCCTCCATTCTCCCTCCGCCCTCCTCATCTGCCCCTCCGCTCTCCTACCTTGTCGTCCCTTATCCCAATTTCTCCTGCTCGTCGTCTTCCTCCGTCTCCTCCTCCTTTCCATGTCCACCTCCCCAACACCGTCCGCTCCCGCGTCGCCTTCTCCTTTCCATCGACCCCTGCTGCTCCACCTCCTCCTGCCTCTTAGTAGTATCAGTCTCTTACTCCTCATGATCCTCCTCCTCTTCCTGCACCTCCTCTCCTCCTCCCCTCCTCCTCCTCCTGCTCCTCCTGCTCCTCCTCCTCCTCCTCCTCCTCCTCCTCCTCTTAACGAGTGGGATCAAGTCTGCGTCAACCGCGCTACCCCTACGTCATCTTGCCCCCCTGGCTGATGTACAGTTGCACGTCATCGCCCTGACGCAACTGGATCTTTGTGAAGCGGTCGTGCTGCAGGCCGACTCGCTTGAGAGGCAGGATGATGGGGCTGCTCCTCGGGCCAGCTGGAAGCCCAGGTGGATGTGTCCAGGGACAGACCTCCTCCCTCTCCTTTCCCTCCCCACCACACCCCAACATCCCCGTCGCCCTCCCCTCGCCTTCTTCTTCCCGCCGTCTCCTTCACCCCCTTCCCCATCTTCATCTTTCATAGTCCCACCCTTCCCCTCCTCCTCATCCTCCTCCTCGTCCTCCTCTTGCTCTGCTTTCTCTTCCTCCTCCACCTCCTCCTCCTCCTCGTCCTCCCCTCCGTCTTCGGAGAAGAGCGCATGAGTGAGCGCGTTGCGTGACGGGACCGACTCCCCGTCCCTTGGGGCATCCGAGGCTGCCCCCGCCCCAAGGCCCAAAGCCGAGGGACACCCCCTTGGAGTGGGGCAGGCCGCGGATGGTCCGACAGCACCAAATCATGTCTCCGTCTGACAGGAGGAGGGGTGCACCACCACCTGGCTGGCGCCCCACTCGTCAGAGGGCCCCGCGCGTTGTCCTCGCTCTGTGTCTGTCCCTGCGTCTGCTCACACTTCTTCAGGGACCACCACCACCGAAGAAGGCAACGTATTGGCACCTGCGATGGGCAGTGGCTCCGAGCACGGTGGATGGTGCGGACGTCGATCGCCACATCGCGCCAGTCTTGAGGGTCCATCAACGGTGCGGTGAAAAACCGTGCGCTGACATCGGAACCCCCAAAGACCTCAGAGCATGGTCCGTCACCGCAGCGTCCTGGGATCTGGAAGACCCCAGTTGGCCGAGACATCGTCGGAGGGCGACCCAAGTCGGAGAGCGACCCGAGTCCCAAAACAGCTCGGTCACCCCGCCTCCCCACCCCCACTGACAACCGCACGGTGACTATGGTCACCGCAGCCGTCTGGACCCCCCCGACAACTCCCGGGGGGCTCGCGAGACGCACTGGAGAGCCGCAGCCGCCCCGGGGTCGGCCGCAGAGGCCCGCGGCGGTCCCCGAGCATCAGCAGGCTCGCGTCGCGCCAGGGCGCGGAAAAGCGCGGACACCTTCGCGCCCCTGCGGGGATCTTACCCCTTCGGGCCTCCCCGGGGTGCGCTCAGAAAGTCTCGCCCTCCAGCCGCCAAGTAGGTGCCTGCCCCAGTAGACGTGGACTGGGTCGGAGGATCGCGCCGCATCGCCGATGCATCGGCGATGCATCAGCGCCGTCGGCGATGCATCGGCGCCGTCGGCGTGGAGATAATCTGGCTCCCCTCCCTGGCGCGCGGAACGCGCCAGGGGCGGCGCCTGAGGCGCATCCAAGCAGGCCCAGCTCAGATCCAAGAAGTCCGAGCGGCGCTCTGAGAAATTATGATTCTGCAGCTGTTTCTTATGCTTCGATGCTCTTAGACGCCCCCGATCCTCGGCGGCACCAGAGAGCTCGACAAACCTGGACTATTTTGGGGGGGGGAGCCTCAATCGCCTATCTTCGTGCAGCGCGCCCCACCGTCCGCGACGCGCGGCTATTTCGCGCCCTCGCGCCCCCGCGCCGCACCCCCCTTTCCCCCCCCCCCGGAAGAAGCACAACCGCTCCAGCCCAGGCCGCGACGCGCGGTGCTCCTCGCGCCCCTGGGGAGTTACGGCCAGGAACGTTTGCGCAGCGTGTCGCCGCGGCGGCCCTGGCGACACGCTGCTCCTGGCAGACGGAGTGCGTGTCGCTTCGCCCCACGGGGCGGGAGGCTCGGGGAAGCTGGGGACGGTAACGCCTCGGGACCCTCGAGTGGATGGCGTGTCGCACCGAGCGCGGCGGGCCAGAGCAAGCGGAGCGACATGCCATCCTCAATTTCCCGACCGCAGAGAAAACCGGTCAGGAAGTGGGACTAGGACAGATCCTTTCAAACTAGGCCACCAGACCCCTCCTGGGGCCCATCTGGTGCAATGTTTCACCCTGGATCCTTTCTTGACGGCCCAGAAAACCCGAAAACGGCAAGAGTGGAGGCCGCACAGGGCCAGAAACCTGCTCGGACCCAGAAACCTCGCACCTCGCGCTCCCCCTCGTGCCGGCCGGAGCCAGTGCGGGGCCACCTCGGACCGCCAGGCGGCTCCAACGTGGGGGGGTGGCCGAGGGGCCGGCTCCTCGGCAGCACCTCGAAGCGCGAGCCGAGGATGCGGTCCGCCTGGGGCACCACGCCCTGCGCCTCCGCCCGCAGCCTGGTGCGGCTGACGGCGACGTCGATGCCTCGGCGGGGCGGGCCGCACAGCCAACGGAGGGCCTCGACGCCGCGGAGCCTGGACGCCTGGACGCTTCGACGCCTCCCCCGCGACCACGAGCGTCCGAGCGGGAAGGGGGGGGGGCCGGGACTCCCTTGCTCGATCGTGCTCCCCCGCCCGACAAGCGGTCAGGAACTCTGGCTCTGCTCGTCCTCGTCCTCCTGCTCCTGCTTCTCCTTCTCCTTCTCCTTCTCCTTCTCCTCCCCTTCCTTCTTCTTCTCCTCCTCCTCCTCCTCCTCCTCCTCCTCCTCCTCCTCCTCCTCCTCCTCCTCCTCCTCCCCTTCCTCCTCCCCTTCCTCCTCCTCCTCCTCCTCCTCCTCCTCCTCCTCCTCCTCCTGCGGTCAGGAACTCTGGCTTGGCGCGCCGCGCCGCTGGCTCTGGCGCACACCGCTTCGGCGCGGCACGCTATTCAGCAAGACGGCTCTCGGGTTGGGAGGGCGTGGCTGGGAAGATGCAGGGCACGACTGTGTAATAAGCACGCTCGGCCTTCGCGATCATGCGGATGATCTGGTCATGGTTCCCAACCTCATCCTCCCAACCCGATAAATGTCTTTCTGGGCTATCCACAACCCTGTCCCGGAGCGTAAACGGCGATCGTTTCCCGACATCCAGCCCCGCGGAGCGGATGGACATGCTATCAACACGCAGGGAATGGCGTGTGGACTCGGCTGCCGCTGTGACGCGCTATACAAAAGTTCCAGAACATAGACATTCTTACGCAAGTGCATCATCTGGAGAGGAGGAGGAGGCGAAAGGGGGAGGCGCGACGATCGTGCTGCCGATCCACTCGTCGCTTTGTCTAACGCGCGCTTCAGGCATGGAGCCTGGAACAGTAGAACTTGACCCCGAAAACGCATCAGCCCAAGATCAGCGCCAGGAAAAGGATGACGTGGAGGAGGACCAGACTAGCATGGGGAGCGTCAGAGGCGGTGTGTGTGTGTGTGTGTGTGTGTCTGTGTGTCTCTCTGTGTGTGTGTTTGTGTGTGTGTGTGTGTGTGTGTGTGTGTGTGTGTGTGTGTGTGTGTGTGTGTGTGTGTGCGTGAGCGTGTGTGTGTGTGTGTGTGTGTGTGTGTCTGTGTCTGTGTGTCTCTCTGTGTGTGTGTGTGTGCGTGCGTGCGTGCGTGCGTGCGTGCGTGCGTCTCGTGTGGTACACAAAACCACTGATATAATCCAGCTTCACGGTGACAGTGTCAGTTGTGAGATGTCAACAAAAGAGCGTCCGACCCGCCTCGCCCACCCTGCGTATCGCGGCCGCCAGGCGCAAGTGTGACAGTTATCCCTGGGTGCCCCGCCTCATGACCTTCGACGGCTGGCGACTGCATGCGTGCTGTACGGGTGCCGCCTGGGCATCCGGACTCGGCTTTCGGGTGGGAGCCGTTGGAAGCAACATGTGTTTGTTGCTGTGCGTGCGTGTCCAGACGTGCTTGCGTCTGGACAGAAATCACGACGGACGGTGTCTGGCGACAGTCGGGCTCTAGGGGACCTCGCCAAGCTGAGGGGCCGTCCAAACAGCGGCGTGGGATGGACATCGGGCCCTCAAGGAAGGGTCGGACTTCTGGGACCCCTGTCTGGAAGAAACTCAAGACGTCAAATGTGTGCGCGCGTGCGTGTCTTAGAAAGAAAGAATGTGCACTTCTCCGTCCTTCTCATGTACGCCCTGTCCCTCTTTCTCTCTCTTCCCCCGCGTGTCCTTGCACGGCTGCCCTCCCTGGCTTTCGCTGTCGATCCTCATGCGGGTGGATCTAACGCATCCCCGCTGCGTGAGCCCAGCTGGTACGCGCGCTTGCTCGAACTGCTCTGCGTCGCGACGCCGCGCAAGAAAGCCGCGACGCCAATTCGCCGGCCCAACGGGCCAGAGGCGTGCTAAGATCTCCGGTAACTGGTTAACAATTTTCTAGTTCGCGCGCGCGGGGCGGCCCCTGGGGGTCCCCGGACGAAAAGTACCCCGACCAGGTCCCGGCCGGGTCCCCCCGAGCGCTCCATGAGCGCACCAACAGGGCTCCGAGACGTCCCCGAGAGCCCCAAGAAAGGCCAAGAGGCCCCCAAGAGGCCCCCAAGATGGTACACGAGGGGTCCGACATGCCACAAGATCGCTCCAAGACGCCCAAGATAGCCCCCAGACGCCCCAAGAGGCCTCCAAGAGCACTCCCAATAGGGCCCCCGGAGGCAAAAATCATTGTTTTTCCATAGGTTTTTGAGAGATTTTGGAGCTTCCACCTTTTCGGCTTCCCGACGCCCCAAGACGGCCCAAGAGGCCCCCAAGATCGCCCCAAGAGGGCCCAAGAGGCACCCAAGAGGGCCCCAAGATGGCCCAAGAGGGCTCGAAGACGGCCCAAGAAGCCTCCAAAACGGTCCAAGAGGGCCCCAAGAACGCCCCCAAAGGGGCCCCAGAGAGGGAACACGAAACAACATTTCGAGCCCTCGGCCCTAAGAAGCCCCTACGAGGCCCCTAAGAGGCCCCAAGAGGCCCCCACGGGGCCCTCAGGAGGCCCCCAAGAGTCCCCCAAGCGGCCCCAGGAGGCCCCCCAAATGCCCCCCCGAGCGCCCCAGGAGTCCCCCAAGCGGCCCCAGGAACCCCCAAAGCGCCGCATTGACACCAGGCCCTCGGGCAAACGGCAGACATGAGACTGTATGGGCCGGCGGAATGAGCGAAGCGATTAAATAAAAACACATGCGTCTGTGTAAACAAAAGTCGGCAACCGCCTCGAAAAGGAATGCAGCCCCTTGCTGGCGATCGGCTGGAACGCCATGTGCGACCGGAAACTGGGGCCGTACTCTTCCAGGGACCCCTCCCGACACAAACCCGATTTGTGCGAGGGTTGCGTGTCGGAGCCCAGCCAGGCCAACTGCGATGTGCGTGCCTTTTGCAGGTAGAAGGGCATCCGCGTCGACCGGGAACGCCGAGCGGGAGCGCGAGATGGAAAAGAGGAGGCAAAGCGCTGAGGCTGCCAGAAAACAAAGGGAAGGGCCCCCCGCCGCAGGGGAAAGGCAAGCGCCCTGCCGGCACATCTTGGCCCAGCAACGACCCCACTCGCCGCCGGTGGTCTGACGCGCGCGCCCACCGCCGGTTGCCCCCCCGACATGGCTCGCACTCTGCCCTGTCTTGTTCTGGCTCATCCCGTCAGCGGTGCTGGCAGCGGCCTGTCTGGCCTCCTGCCTCCCCTTTTCGCCGTGCTCCCGGCTGCCGTCTCTCGTATCCGCAGCGCTGCACCTATTCGATCCCCCCCCCCCCGCGTGCCTCCAGCGGCCGTTGGGGGCTACGCCTGCCTCGGGCGCTGTGTCCTAATAGCGCACATTCACATGTTTTATGTTGTTCGAAATGTGTTTCGATTTCGACGTTTGGCAATTCTGGTGGGAAACAATTTTTTTTTTGATTTCATTACCGCGCCCAGAAACGTTGAACGAAAACTGCAGGATCAAATCCTACGTCGTTGGTGTTGGTCCCGCTCGCAGAAGCGTCGATTACTGTGTTGTTGGCATGTCACTGTGTTCTCGAAGCGTCGACTTGGAGGTTGGGTACCTTTTTCCAGACACGTTTGATGTGTCATTTTCGGCCTTCGCCAACACTTCTGAATTACGGTGCGTTCTGTCTCTGGCCGCTTGAACTTCGTCGTGGGACGCGTCAACTGGGGAGGCGGCTGTGGTCGCGCAGGCTGTCGTGGCAGCGATTTTCTCTGCGGTGGCGGCGATGGGAGGTGGCAGCGGCGAGCGGAGGTCGGACAGTTGTTAGAGAGATGCGGACTATGGCATAGAAAAACATTGATTGTCGACGAAAATTGCGAGGAGGACGGAAAAAACAGGAGAGCGACCAGGAGGGGCAGGGGATGGACGAGGAGGCGGGGGGGGAAAGAGGAGAGGAGGAGGAGGAGGAGGAGGAGGAGGAGGAGGAGGAACGAGGAGGAGGAAGAGGAATGGAAAAGGAACATGAGGGAGGGCGGGGGGGAGGGAAGGAGAGAGGCAGCGAGAAACCCTGGCGCCGCATGAGCCGTTCTGCCGTTGCGTTTGCTCGTGATCAGAATGCGTAAAGCGCCTGGGCCGTCGTCATCCGAGGCATGGCAGCTGCGGGGGGGAGCAAGCGAGTCTGAAAGACACAACGTCGTCGTGCGCCCCCTGAACCCTGACATAACAGCGCGCACAAGACGCGCCCGATGGCGCCGGCAGGCGGGCGGGGGGGTGGGTAACTTTTGCAAAAAATCGCATGTCCGATGCCGCGCAAAGGAGGCGCCGGCGGCGTAGAAGGGAAGGGACTTTGAAACAATCTCGCGTTCGACGCGCGGCGCGCGGGGGGGGTGGGGGGACTCTGCAAAAATCTCACGCCCGACTGGGGCCTGGGTGCTGCGCGCTGCGCAAAACTGCCGCGCGCGACCCTGGGATGCGCGGGGAGGGGGGGGGGGGAGCGACGGCCACGTGGCGACCACGTGGCGGGTGCTGGGGGACAGGGGCAGGGAGACTCTGCAGGTGGGGAGGGGGGGAGGGGGGGGTGGTCTGGGAGGGGGGGGGGGGGGGGGGGGGGGAGGGGAGGAGGGGGAAGGGGGGTGGGGATGGGGGAGGGGAAGGATGGGATGGGGGGGTCCTTGCAAAACCTGGAGGTCCTAAAACGCGCAGCAGTATCTATTTTGACGTTGCGACCGTCGCCGTTACGTTGGGGAAAAATGTCGGAACGTGAAATGTATCAAGGTTGGCGTTGGGAAATGCGTCGACGGCTCTAGAACTCATAGGTTTGGGCATCGAATTTGACGCCGGGCTTCAAAATGGGCGCCAACATTGACGTTCGGGACCCGACGCAGAAATCGACACCGACATCGACACTTTTTGTATCAATTTGGGCATCAGAATTGACGTCGGGTATCAGTTTGGGCATCAAAGCGGGCATCAAAATTGACGCTGGGGATCGACACTAAAATCGCAGCCGAAATCGACACCGAAATCAACACTTCTACTGCTTTTTTTATATCAGTTTGGGCATCA